ACTCATCATGCAAGCATTGAGTTTGCAAATGGGGGGGGGGGGGGCTGCGCCCCCCCCTAACCCCCCCCGCTTGGGCTGCGCCCCCCCCCCCCCCCCCCCCAACCCCCCGCTTTTTTAAGCTAAACCCTAAACCCTAAACCCTAAACCCTAAACCCTAAACCCTGAACCCTACACCCTAAACCCTAAACCCTAAACCCTTAACCCGATGAGTTTGCTTGCATGATGGGATTCAAGATTCACATGCTTTGAAAGAAGCTAAAAAGCGGGGGGGTTGGGTTTAGGGTTTAGGGTTTAGGGTTTAGGGTTTAGGGTTTAGGGTTTAGGGTTTAGGGTTTAGGGTTTAGGGTTTAGGGTTTAGGGTTTAGGGTTTAGGGTTTAGGGTTTAGGGTTTAGGGTTTAGGGTTTAGGGTTTAGGGTTTAGGGTTTAGGTTGTTTAGGGTTGGGTTGAGGTTGAGGTTTGAGGGTTTAGGGTTTAGGGTTTAGGGTTTAGGGTTTAGGGTTTAGGGTTTAGGGTTTAGGGTTTGGGTTTAGGGTTTAGGGTTTAGGGTTTAGGGGGTTTAGGGTTTAGGGTTTAGGGTTTAGGGTTTAGGGTTTAGGGTTTAGGGTTTAGGGTTTAGGGTTTAGGGTTTAGGGTTTAGGGTTTAGGGTTTAGGGTTTAGGGTTTAGGGGAGGGGGGAAGCCAAGAGGTTCCCGACCAGCAAGCCAGAAAAAAACTACAAAAAAAACGGAAAAAAACTACGGAAAAAAATCCCAGCCCAAACCCTACGGCCCGAAGATTAAGATGTTCCCCCTTGTACTTGCAGTCCTTAATAGAGTTTAGGGTTTAGGGTTTAGGGTTACTTACAGCCCTTAATAGGGATTATGGTGCCCCTTATTATAATAAGGATCTAAACCCTGAACCCTAAACTCTACGCCCTCACCACAAACCCGGCCCATGGACCATTGACCTGCAGCGATCCGAAAAATTAACAATTAAAAAACAACCTCGACCTCATACCCCTACACCCTAATGTTCTACAGCTTTAGTGGCCGTTGGGGGGTTCAGGGTTTAGGGGTTAGGGTTTAGGGTTTAGCGGCCCCCCAAATCCTAAACCCCCCTAACCCCCTACCCCCCAAAATCCTATAAACCCCCTAACCCCAACCCCCCCCCCCCCCCCCCCAAAAAAAAAAAAAAACAACACAAAATAAATAAATAAAAACTCCGAGAGGGCTCCTCCTGAAACTCTTCTTCCCCGAGCTGCCGCACTTGGGAGGCCAGGGCCGTCGCGTCGTCCAAGACAGGCACCAGTTGAAGGCCTCCCTTGGGCTGGCGAAGCGCTCTTTAGGGTTTAGGGTTTAGGGTTTAGGGTTTAGGGTTTAGGGTTTTGGGCTTTGGGCTTTAGGGTTTAGGGTTTGGGGTTTTCGGGCTTAGGGTTTAGAACTTTTTTGGGTTTAAGGTTTAGGGTTTGGGGTTTTAGGGCTTAGGGTTTGGGGTGTATTCGGAAATGACTCTGTATCTGAGCAACTGAGTGCGACTGCACTATGATTTAGGGTTTAGGGTTTGGCGTTTCTGGCGAAGTCGTTTAGGGCCCTGTGGATTTCTTATCATGAAATTTCTGGGGAGATTTGGGAACACAGGTATTTTGATCAACTACGATTTTGGGTCAAAAGGTCGAGGGTCGAGGGGCTTAGGGTCAAAGGGCTCCTCTCGCACACAAGGGAGGCAAGGCTCGGAGGGTCGAGGGGTTTAGGGTTTAGGGTTTAGGGTTTAGGGTTTAGGGTTTAGGGCCTAAATGCTCTGACACAGGATCCCTTAAATGTGATCCTCTTCCTGTTTAGGGTCTGCGAATTAGGGTCGAGGGGTCGGGGTTTGTGTAATAAAGGTCTTGCAACCCGAAACACACACCAAGCCACGTATGCCCCATATTTACAATGTCCCAAAGTTGTTTCGGGACAGCAGCGGGGGGTCGTTTCCTAAGCTGGCAAACTTTGGATTCCCTTGTGAGTACGCTTTTGCTGTCGGTTTTTTGCAAGAGGAACGCCTACTTCATTTCGAACCAGCGCATGTGCTCTAAACTCTAAAGGTTGCAGCATGTGCGGCCCCTTCGATGGACATAACTGTGGCATTGGAAGAGACGACATCTTAGCAAGCAACGGTTGACAAAGAGCCCATCATAAACTCTCTCTTGAATGCCAAGAGCGGCTGCTTCATTTAGCACCTTAAACGAGGATGTGGAGAATCAGGGCCGGTCCTGTTAATAAGGGTGCCGTACTATGCAGGGCCTGTTCTGTTCAACCGGCGCATGCGGTAGTGCCAAGTACGCCTATATAGAGATTGGTAAGTGGACATGTTGGTCATCATATAGGCTCCTGTACAACCCTCAACCTGTCTCTAAAATGGTTGTTTATCAAAGAAGATCTCGAAAACACAGAAGCAAGATCCCAGACTGAAGGAGTCTCTAAGGGCACCGAACCCCCCCCCCCAAAAAAAAAAAAAGAGTAAAAAAATGAAGCAAAATGAAGAAGAGAACGGAAAACTGGGCCAACGCCAGGTCCTAGGAAGCCGGCCAGTCACCCAAAACCCAAAACCCTAAACCCTAAACCCTAAACCCTGAAGCCTAAACCCTAAACCCTAAACCCTAAACCCGAAACCCTAAACCCTAAACCCTAAATCCATCGAGCCGCCTTGAGCCTGCACTCCTCCACCACTGGCGCCTCGCCGGCGGCGCGTGCGCCCGGCTCGGATCCCCCCTTGCCGCGGAGTTCGCGCTGCGCCCAGCGGGGGAGGGCCTCGACACCCTGCTTGGCCTCAAGGAGGGATACGGAGGTTTAGGGCTTAGGGTTTAGGGTTTAGGGTTTAGGGTTTAGGGTTTAGGGTTTAGGTTTTAGGGTTTAGGAGAATATTCCCAGAAGTGCTCAAGGCCGGACCTGTGAGGCCCCTGAAGGCCCCAAGAGCCCCAGAGTCGCAGCACCGACTGTCCAGCTTTCCGGTGGCGTGTGGAGACGGGTGTGGACAGAAAATTGGCTAACCCTTTGGGGTTTAGGGTTTAGGGTTTAGGGTTTAGGGTTTGGGGTTTGGGGTTCAGGGCCTCCTATATGAATGATAAGGGATATGAGAGTACGTTTAGGGGGTGTAAAACGGTGGCCGCAGCTTTTGGGCACCTGTTCGTGAAGGTCGCTCCAACACCAGGCGATTCAACCAAAACCCTAAGCCCTAAGCCCTATTTCAACCTAAACCCTCAACCCTTTTGAAGCTGTCGCACCCCTTTTGCGCACTCATTCGCAAGCCCTAAACCCTTTTATCCACAAACCCTCAACGCTTTTTGAGCACTAATGAAAACCCAAACCCTAAACCCGAAACCCTAAAACCCTAAAACTGTAAGAACTCTGAAACCCTAACCCCTAAACCCTAAACCCTAAACCCTAAACCCTAAACCCTAAACCCTAAACCCTAAACCCTAAACCCTAAACCCTAAACCCTAAACCCTAAACCCTACCTCCTCCAGAAGGGTCGAAGGCCAAGAGGGAGAGAGCCACTGGAGATCAGACATTCTCGGCCATGGCCGTGCCGCCAGGAGCAGGGTTCAGAGTTTAGGTTGAGCGGATTAGGGATTGGGGTTTAGGGGTCTAGGGGTCTAGGGGTCTAGGGGTCTAGGGGTCTCGGGGTTAAGGGTTAAGGGTTAAGGGTTTAGGGTTTGGGGTTTGGGGTTTAGGGTTTGGGCTTAGGGGGTGCTGTGACAGAACGGCTCGTTTAGGGTTGGGGCTTCGGGTTTAGGACTTGCAAGGCTTAGGGGTTTAGGACTTTTAGGGTGGAGGATGTGGGGAGTTTTGGGTTCGCTTGGCCACTAGAAAGAAGAGGCTGGGAGACTTAAAATTGGGTTTTAGTCGAGCAGGTCATGGCAAGGCTCGATTGCTAGACATGGTCGACAGAGTCCGTTGTTGGGTCGGCAGAGCTTTCTTGTACAGGGTTTAGGGTTTAGGGTTTAGGGATATAGGGTTTAGGGTTTCAGACGTCTTGGCTCAGCAAGGTGTGCACTCCGAATCTGCGTGAATCTAGATACACCCTGTTAAGCGATGGTTGCGCGGCAGTTCGGCAGACCGTCGCCGTAGGCTAGGTGTAGGTTCTTCTGGCTTTTGTGCCGGTCGCGTTATGCTGCGTGCTTACAATCATTCTGGGGTTTCCCTACTACCCCCTCTCTATACTACCTTAAGTAGGCTTGAATAATTCCTAAATAGCCCTAATTATAGGGGGAATGTAGGGGGGGCTAGTGTAGAGGGGGTAGTAGCCCAGAGACTCCAATATCCCTTAATTAAGGAATGTACCTTAAGTTATAATCGGATCCCTGGTATGATTTAAGGTCTAATCCTTAATTTAAGGGATATTGGAGTCTCTGGGAGGGGAACCCCTGAAGTCAGGTTCTGGATAAAGACGTCCTTGAACCTCCGCAGGCCGTGCTCATGCTCATGTCAACCTCAACTTTGGGGGTTTAGGGTTTAGGGTTTAGGGTTTAGGGTTTAGGGTTTAGGGTTTAGGGTATAGGGTATAGGGTTTAGGGTTTAGGGTTTAGGGGGTGTCATATGGGGATGTTCCCCCTTCTACGAAAAGTCCTCAATAGGGATTCTAGCACCCCCTATTATCATCCCCATGAAGGACTGTTAGCATAAGGGGAGCATCCCAGTTCCCATCATAAACCCCTAGGCCCTAAAATTCAACCTCACGTCTGTGTAGGCAGCTCAGGATGCGGAAATGCCCATACTGCCAGCTGTCTCGACTGTGTCTCTTTAGGTTTCTTGTTTGCTTCTTGCCTAGCAGCCTCACACAACACTGCCGGAGAGGTTCAAGGATTGTGTGTCCTTATTGTGGCAGCGAATATTTTCAACTCCTTCGCCCAAAGATGCCAACCTGTAAAGTTACCCCAAACCCGTTTGCATCCTCAGCCCTAAACCCTAGACACTAAACCCTAATCTCTAAACCCTAAACCCGAAACCCTAAACTAACCCCAAATGACCAGGGCTGGTGCGGGTTCATTCTGTAGACCATCCCGAGGAGATACGTCGGTGACCTCCGTTGGTGGCTATTCGCTTCAGGCGCTTTGGGGTTTGCAGGGTTTGTAGGGTTTGGGGTTTAGGGTTTAGGCTTAGGGTTTAAACCCGAACCGACTGAAGCCTGGAGCCCGTCTCCCCCCTGCCTCAGGTGAGCGTTTAGGATTTAGGGTCTACCCAATGATATATATATATATATATATATATATATATATTATATATATATGCATGAACCTTCTCGCAAGCTGAACCCTACTTAAACCTTCATGAACCTTCAAGAAAGCCCTTAGGTAAACACGGCCTTACTAGGACCCGACATTCGTTGAACCCTAGTACCCCCCAAACCCCAAACCCGAGATTCCCCAAACCCTACATACCAAAAGCTAAGCCCCAAGACCCTAAGACCTAGGGTTTGGGGTTTAGGGTTTGGGGCTTAGGGTATCGGAATTCGGGTCTAAGTGGGTACCCTAAAACCGTTAAAGCCGTCAAGCCCTGGGATGCACTCTGTGGGAAGCCATGGGTCCAGCCTGCACGCTGCCTGGCACCCGATCCCAGCTGGCGAAGCGCCGCCAAGCTCTCCCACTCCGGGCCACCGTGAGACCCCGCATGGTGTAGGGTTCAGGGTTCAGGGTTCAGGGTTCAGGGTTCAGGGTTCAGGGTTCAGGGTTCAGGGTTCAGGGTTCAGGGTGGGTTTAGGGGTCAGGGTTCAGGGTTTTAGGGTTTAGTTCAGAGTGGAGGGTTGAGGGCTGTAGGGTTTGAGGCTTTTCGCTTGCCACCTGCCCAGCAGCGAGCATTTCGAGTTCTGTGTTTGGAGCTTTGGCCTGGCATTTAGGGGATTAAGGGTAGACATGTTCTTGGGTAGTGTAGTGATGCAGAGTGTCAACCCTAAACCCTAAACCCTAAGAAGTAACTCCTGAAGTTATCAGGGGGGGGGGGGGGGGGCTTAGGGCATCAGATACCACGGGCTCCAGGCCACGTATCAGAGGCTGCTAATCTTCAAGGCCAGACGAGGGGCTTACTGGAAGTTCCGCGGGTACTGATCCGTAAGCTGGGTTTAGGGTTTATAGGGTTTAGGGCTTAGGCTTCTTGTTTGGGGTTTCGGGTTAGAGCCGGGTATATCTTCAGCTACCCTGCTTCTCCACTTGTCATGAACCTTCAAATCTGGCTCGTGACGTGACTCGCAATGAAGGAAGGGTCAGAAGACAAGAAACAACTCGGCCCAAGCCACCCCCCAACAACCCCAAAACTATAATCCCCCTAAACCCGAAACCCCCCGAATCCTAAGCCCTAAACCCTAACCCCCTAAAAATCCTAAACCCTAAACCGCAAACCCTAAAAACAAACCTTACTGTAAGCCTCCTAAGAAGCCCTGAGACCCCTAAAGCCCTTAAAGGGTTCTGAAGGGAAGGGCGTTCATGAGGGGTAGGTGCCAAGGGAGCCTTAGAGAGTATTGAGGAGTATTAGGGAACCTTGGGTTACATACCCCCCTTGAACCCCTAAACCCTAAACCCTAAACCCTAAACCCTAAACCCTAAACCCTAAACCCTAAATCCTAAACCCTAAACCTTTACGAACCCTGTAAAGCCCTGAACTCCGGTGGCATGTTGTCAGTTCCGGCCGGATCATGGCCGAGGCTTCGTGCGCTTTAGGGCTCTTGAGGCCGTACGGCCCCCTTGGGCTTTAGGGTTTAGGGTTTAGGGTTTAGGGTTTAGGGTTTAGGGTTTAGGGTTTAGGGTTTAGGGCTAGGGTTTAGGGTCTAGGGTTTAGGGTCTAGGGTTTAGGGCTGACACAGAGCCTACAAGCAACTACAAATATCATCTCGAGATACTGCTCTACAGCCTCAACATGAAACCACTCTTCTAACCCAGCCCTCTGCAGGGAGCCCCAAACCCTAATCCTAAACCCTAAACCCTAAACCCTAAACCCTAAACCCTAAACCCCAAACCCTAAACCCTAATCCCGTACCTTAAATAGCAGCTCTTAGCGTCATTGCACGGCATATTCCTCTCAATGGCCCACGAGTAACCTCGGACCTAGGCACAAGAAGGGCACCCCTCTTTGATTTTGTATATGAGGCCAACAACTCTGGGTCCTAGTCAATAGCTTTGTGGGCTTCCACGAAAAAGATACCCTTCTTGGGGGGGCGGGTTCCTATAAGCACTATAGTATGTTGGGGAATGTGTCCGGACTCCCTGTCTGAGGGTAGCTACGTGGCCCCTTGCTTACCCTATAGAACCCAAAGGGCCCCATGCATCAGAACCCTTTAAAGGAGGGTAATAAGGAACCATATTCGGTGAACATGCACCGACCCTTCGACAAACACCCCAAGTAGACCCCATGGAGCACCATTTAAAGAAGGTAGGGGACCATATCCCTAAACCCTAAACCCTAAACCCTAAACCCTAAACCCTAAACCCTAAACCCTAAACCCAATTCGGGGACCATGTAACTACCCTGAGACCCTTCTAACTTTAGGAAAGCAGTTCCCAAGAACTGCTACTTGCTTAAGAAACCCAAAAAATATTCTTCCTTATTGGGTAATATAGGGATTACTATTCTTTCTTTTGGGGTTCTTAAGCAAAACATGAAAAATGTTCCTCCTTCTTAAGAGTAATATAGGGATTGTTACTTTTTCTTTTTGGCGTTCTTAAGCAAATAGCAACATTCAGGAGTACCCTAAACCCTAAACCCTCTAAGCAAATAGTAGAGAAGCTGTTCCGAAGCCTTGCCGGCATCGCGGTCCCAAGACCAGCTGTCGGAGCGCCAGCGCCTGTAGGGTGCTTTGTTAGGGCTGTTTAGGGTTTAGGGTTTGGGGTTTGGGGTTTAGGGGGGCTTAGGGTTTAGGGTCCAGGGCTTCGCCTGGTGCACGTCTCGATTCGTTGCGTCGGTGTAGGGCTTGGGATTGTAGGGCTTAGGGCGTTTAGGGTTGCACGTAGCTCTTGTTGACTTTGGGCTTGGCACGGTAGATGTGAGGGGCGCGCAGTGTGATTTGGCACAAGGGCAGAGGGTGGAGCACCGATGCCGAGCCGGGCTGTGGAAGTCCCTGGAAGCAATGCTGACGCGTGGAAAGGGTAGCTAGAAAGCATACGGATATATTAGAAAGCTTAGGTAACCCTAAACCCTACACCCTTTTTGCAACAACCCTAAACCCTAAACCCTAAACCTTAAATCAAACAGAACGCCCTCCCCTAAACGCCAAACTGTTTCATCACTCACTGAGCCCCGCTGTTCAACATGTTCCAGGGCTTATGCGGTCGCTTTTCGGCTTTCAGGTTTCTAGGGCTTTCAAAAGTCAAGCCGGGGGTTTAGGGTTTAGGGTTTAGGGTTTAGGGTTTAGGGTTTAGGGTTTAGGGTTCAGCAGCTCTGGGTCGAGCAATCTCTAGTAGAGCCGCTGTCTGGACTCTAGAAAAAAACCCACCCACCCAGAGAATCCCAAAACATTAAGAAATATAAAGTTCTCATTTTCCTCAGCAAGCCCTGTCCTCCGACCTCATTTATTCATTCTGCTCGTGTTTTTTGTCATTCTGCTTGGTTTCCATTCTGCTCGTATGCGTTTCTTTCTGCTCGTATTCATTCTGCTCGTATTCGTTCTTTTTCTGACCTGCTCGTCTCGTGTTCGTTCTCGTTCTGCTCGTATTCATTCTGCTCGTATTCGTTCTCTCTCTGCTCGATTTCAGTCCGCTCGTTTTCGTTGTTTTTCTTCTCGTATTCATTCAGTTCGTATTCGCTCTCTCTCTCTCTCTCTCTCTCTCTCTGTGCTCGATTTCAGTCTGCTCGTCTCCGTTCTCTCTCTGCTCGTAATCATTCTGCTCGTATTCGTTCTCTTTCTGCTCATATTCATTTTGCTCGTGTTCGTTCTCTTTCTGCTCGTATTCGTGCTTTTTCTGCACGCTCTCTGCTCGATTTCAGTCCGCTCGTTTTCGCTGTCTTTCTGCTCGTACTGAGTCTGCTCGTACTCATTCTCTTTCTGCTCGTATTCATTCTGCTCGTATTCGTTCTCTCTCTGCTCGACGTCAGTCTGCTCGTATTCGTTCTCTTTCTGCTCATATTCACTTTGCTCGTGTTCGTTTTCCCCGGTGACCCTGCCTATTTTTGGCCGTCTTGTTGGTTGTGTTTGGCACACTTTAAGCTGCCTGGCTTCCACATGGTTGCTTTCCAGAGAGTGCCCCGGTGACCTCGCCTCATGTTGGCTCCTGCTCGTAGGGTTTGATGAGAGGCCTAGAGGTTTATCGTATGTCCCCTCTCTTCGTGCTCGTAGGGTTTGTCGTATGTCCCTCCCTTCATGCTCGTAGGGTTTGATGAGAGGTCTACAGTTTTGTCGTACGTCCCCTCCCTTCGTGCTCTTAGATTTTGTCGTATGTCGCCTCCCTTCGTGCTCGTCGGCTTTGTTGTATGTCCCTCTTTGTCTGCTTGCAGAGAATCCCAAGAATTAAGAAACTGAGGTTTTATTTTCAGAGGTTTGTCGTATGTCCCCTCCCTTCGTGCTCGTCGGCTTTGTCGTATGTCCCTTTTCTTCTGCTTGCAGAGAATCCAAAAAAATTGAGAAATGTACGGGTTTATTTTAGAGGTTTGTCGTATGTCCCCTCCCTTCGTGCTCCAACCCCAGAATGGGGGTCCGGAAGTTGCTTTTCCCCACCCCACCCTCGGACCACCCAAGATGGAAAACACTGAGAAGGGGCTGCCGCGTTGCCCGGCCCCGCAAGGCCTTCATCTTGATCTGGCCCAGACCCAGGTTTTCAAGCCCAGAATGGGGGTCTGGGCCAGAAGAGGGAATGGGGGGCATGGGGGGGGGAAGGGGGGTGGGGTTGGGGGGGGTTGGGTTGGGGGGGTGGGGGGGGAAACGAGGGGCTGGGGGGGTGGGGGGGGGTGGGGGGGGGGGGGGGGGGGGTGGGGGTGGGGGGGTGGGGGGGGGGGGGGGGTGGGGGGTGGGGGGGGAAAAGCCGTGGCCATTGGCAAAAAAGCCGTGGCCATTGGCAAAAAAAGCCGTGGCCACTTGGCAAAAAAGCCGTGGCCATTGGCA